TGTTATATAGCTTTATACCTCTTGGGTTGGCAAACATTAAGAATAAAAAAAGTTGCAGGTGGTGGTGGCACATGCCTTTAATCCCGGCACTTGGGAGGCAGAGCCAGGCGAATCTTTGTGAGTTTGAGTCCAGCCTGGTCTAGAAAGTGAGATTCAGGACAGGCTCCAAAGCTACAAGACAGGCTCCTGTCTTGAAAAATTAATTAATTAATTAATTAATTAATTAATTAAAAATTTTAAAAAACCGTAAGAAGTATAATAGCTATTTCAAGCAATGGTACAGAAATTAGAGTACACTCATAACATACCTCTCACTCTCTTAAAGGCCAAGCTCTCCATTCATTTCTTTCTATCAGGCCTCCTGATGCTCCCAAGTTCCAGTGACACATAAATTTAAACAAAAGTTCTACACTTCCAGCACAATCCGATGCAATGACGAAGAAGCAGGAAATGTGCTTGCATTTGGAAAGAGACAAAGTTAAAAACATCCAAATGTCATCAGTCCGTAGTAAATAGCAAACCCTGACAGACAGGGGTGGCAAGGACTTTTGTGTAGTGAATTTACTGTCATAGACCCTGTCTTTGTGTCCTTAGAAATGTCTCTTGTGAGCTCCGTTCAGCAGCCTCTGGCGCCTCCCAGTGTGGGCATAGAGGATGCTGCTTCTTAATGATATTTTATAAGCCTGGATTAGGTTGGCTTCCTCTGTTTGACAACTCACTTCTAGCTGGCATGAATTTGGAGACTTGGGATGGCTTTAGGAAATGACTCATGGACATTGATTTAGTATAGCAGTGTGACTTGGGGGCAGGGAGGTGGGAAGGAAGTCAGCAATCCCTGAAGGGCAAGAGGTTTATCTTTATGATGCAACTGCGGTGCCTAGACCATATGTATGTAGTGGAGATGGGATGATCCAGAGCTTTAGTGGCTTATGTCAGTTTTACTGAGACATGGGAACTGCAGTAGATTTGTTAGAACATGCAAAGTGGCTTTCATACAAGAGGCAGGCCTTCACTTTGGGTAGACTGAGTCTGACATTGGTATTGGGGAATGCTACTAATAACATGAATTGCTTTGGACACAAATACATTACTATTTTATGTTAGGGATTTACCAGGAGGCCGGAACAAATCTAGTGCCATTAACTGTCACTCACTGAGATGGCTAGATCTTATAGAATACCTATACATCCCATGTATAAACAAATTGTGAAGATGACTATAAAATAGCTATAACCTTGGGGAACATAATATTTGACATTTGTACATGTGTGCATTTTTTTTAGAAAACAGTAATGGAGGATCTCACATTTTATCTTTGCTAATTTTAATTTTGTTAATTTTTGAAAAGAATTGCTGGTATAGACAATAGGTAGGAAGCCAGCCTGTCCATGGTGTAGGTGAGAGGGGGAAAGGCCAGGCTCAAACGTTTTTACTGCAGCTCTCACTTGCCCAGAATTACAGCAGGCTGAGCAAACACTAATGGAGCGGCCCCAACCTCAGGCAAACATCAGTGGAGAGTCAGTTTCCCTAAGGGTGTGGTCTCGGGGAAGTCTACCACGATCCTGTGGATGGACCCACACTCAAGAGTGTACGAATAGCACAGACTGAACTTAGGTTATTTATGAAAAAAAAAGAGGATTGAAGTTGGGGGTGCTGGGAACTTGGTGGAGGGAGAGCTAGTTAGAGCAGTAGGGGGTGAATATGATCCAAATAAATTATGTGAAATTGTAAAATAATAAACTGTATCAAAATATTGTACATTAGAAAGATATATATTTGTCTTTTTGAGTCTGGGTTACTTAACTTAGGTTGGTGGCTCCAAATCCACATATTTTCCAGAAAATAACACAATTTCCTTCTTACTGGCTGAAAAATATTTCATTGTGTATAGAAATCACATTTTCTTTACCCATTCATCTGTTGGTGGGCACCTAGGCTGAGTCTATGTCTTGCCTGTTATGAACAAAGCCATATTTAACATGGGTACGTGGGCATCTCTATTTTATGCTGTCTTTGATTCCTTTAGGTGTATGCACAGGCATGGTATAGTAGCAGTATATGCTAGCTCTAGTTTTAGTTTCTTGAGGGATCTCCATACCAATTTTCATTGTGGCTGGATCAACTTATACTCCTACCAACAGCATTACAACATTTAAAGGTTTCCTACACCTGCATGCTTTCCAGTATATTTTGTTTTCTCAATGGTAGCCATTCTGACTGGGGTGAGATGGACTCTCAATGCCATTTTGTTTTGCATTTCCCTGGTAGTTAAAGAAGCTGAATATTTATTTATGCATTTTGTAGTTGGTTGTTTTGCTTTTGGTTGTTTGCCTGCCACCCAGCTCCCAAATAAATGGCACACAGAGACTTATTCTTAATTATAAATGCTTGGTCTTAGCTTGGCTTGTTTCTAGCTAGCTTTTCTTAACTTAAATTAACCTATCTGTCTTTTGCCTCTGGGCTTTTACCTTTCTCTATATATGTATACCTTTCTTTCTTTCTTTCTTATTCCATTGCTAGTTGTGTAGCTGGATGTCTGGCCCCCAATGTCCTCCTCCTCTGGCTACTTCCCCCACCCCCAGAGTTCTCCTTCTATATATCCTCTCTGCCTGCCAGTCCTGCCTATCCTTTCTCCTGCCTTGCTATTGGCTGTTCAGCTCTTTATTAGACCATCAGGTGTTTTACACAGGCACAGTAACACAGCTTCACAGAGTTAAACAAATGCAACATAAACAAAAGTAACACACCTTAAAATAACATTCTACAACAGCATTTATTGGCCATTTTAAGTATTTATTTTAAAAGTCTGTGTTTGATTCAGTTGGCCATTCACTGATTGGATTATTTGCTCTTATATTATTAATATTTCTGATGTATCCTGTTGTCTGACATGAAAGCATTGTCTGCATCTAAAAATATGTAAGTGATTCTGGATCCTGTTCTGTGCCCACTCTCCTCAGTTCCGTACTTCTCATACCATAACAAGTACAGTCTTTGCCAACTCTAAGGGATGCCTTGGGATCTGGTCCTGCCTGCTTCTTTGATATCTGCCATCTCTGTCAGCTGCATTTATATCTACCATCTCTTTTAATATCTACCATCACTTCGCGAGCTTTGGCCTGGCAGAGCACCTGACAGCTTTTCGCCCTGACATGAGTCCGGCTTTCAGGTCATCCCTAAATCTGTCTTCTGAGGTTTGTCTATTGACCCGATTTATTTTCTTCATAGTGTTAACTGTTTAAGTGTCTGATTTACTTCTTGTTGTTGTTTTCTCAACTCACAAGTGTACTCTGTGAGAGGAAGAACTTTGTCACATTCCCCGGAGTTTCCAAAATCTCTAGACTGCGACAGTACTTGAGCACAGCGGGGAACACGCCATGTCTATGGAGTAAGTGTGGTAACTGACTCTCCCTCTGTGGTGGGAGCACAGCAAACAACCCCCCCCCCACACACACACTAAGAAGGCCATGGCCACCCTCTTATTAAACATTAATGTCTCTCGAGAAACTTCCTAGAAACATACACAGTTTATATGTGGGCTGTTGGTGTTTTTCATTGGCTTTCCCTATTGATTTTCTGGATTAGAAGTTTTCCAATTAAAATTCAGCACAGTCATATCTTAGTATACTTCTGTTGCTTTCCCATTTATCCTATTAACATTTGCGCTCACATATGTTTAAATGGCATTTTGTCTCTCAGCGGATAAGAGGAAGAAAGTGTATTGATTGAATGAGTATTTCAGGGATCACTGGTTGATTATTAAGGAGAAGGCTTTTCTCCTCTTCAGTTCTCGACTTATCCTAAGTGTTATTACATGTGAAATGCCAATTCGTTAGTGAATTTCCTCAAAAAGAAGAAAGTATTTTCCTCATTACTGGAACTTTTGAACTGAAATCAAGACTGAGTCGACTTCTCGAGTGTGAAATTCAAGGGCCCATGCTAGCTGATCCTGGAAGAGTTTCAAAAGCCTGGATAGTGTGTTATTGATTGTGCCTCTTATGATCAGTTCTAGGAAGCAGGCAGCCTTCGGTGCAGGACCTGGGGCAAATTATATCATGGATCCCTTCTCTCCTCCACAACCCTTGTTAACATAGGGCCGTCAGGTCACCAAAAGTTCCTCGAGTGCCGTGGTGGTCTGAGGATGGTACAGGGAAGTAAGCCAGAGCAACTTCCTCTGGTTGTTGTGGGTAAGGATAAAAACCACTGATGGATTCAGTGTCCATATGGAAGACATGCTTGGGTCTGACCAGCCAAAGGGATCAATTTTTGACCTGCAGCATACTTGCCACCTTGCACTACAGCTCAGTTTTCAGTAATGGAGGAGGCGAATGAAGAGATGTTAGCTGGGGGCAGTTTATCTGCTCTAACACAGCCTAGGCCAGTGTGTCTCAGAGGATTACCTTCCTCTGGACACACTCCAATCTACAATTGTTTACTGTACAAGTGTTTGTGTAAACCTGTTCCTTCCAGCCCCAGTCTATATATTGGTATGCTGGAGTTCTCTGGGCAGCTATACCTTTAATAGCTAAGGCCTGGCAGCGCCTTGCTTTCCTTGGGGATAATTCAGATTCATTTATATTTAGCCCCAAGAAACAAGAATGACAAGAGAGAATTTTTTCCCTACAGATTATGTATTTTAAATGTGCAGTCAACTTTTATATTTTTAAGCGTGACCAACTATGTTTTCAGCTTACTAATCTGGCTATAGATTTTTTTTTTCCTTTAGGAGAGAGGAAAGGGAAGGGTATAAGGTGGGTAGATTGGTGTCTGGGAGACTTGCCTATGTAAAAATGAATTAAGCTTTTTAAAAAAGATTTATTTTTTAATTTTAGTATGCATCTCTGTGTGTGGCTTTGTGGCGGGATGTGCATGTGAATGCAAGTGTCCTTGGAGGTCAGAATCAACTGGTCCCCCGGAATCAAACTTGGGACCTCTGCAAGAGCAGTATACACTCTTAACAGCTGAGCCATCTTTCCTGTCCATGGATTGTTTTAAAACAGGTTTTCCAAGTAGAAATCCTGAACTCGGTTTAAGCAACACAAGTCTGAAGATGGGAAATATATTGTCTATACCTTCAGGTATGTTTCTTTTTCTTTTGTTTTTCTGTATTGCTTTTATGTAAGTTTGAGATGTATCTATATCTATAATCTTGGGAAGGAAACACATTGATGTGAGCAGTGCTCCTTATGATTTGATACCAGGAGTGCTTTGATCTCTCTGGAGAAAATTCTAGAGCTAATGGCTAAGGCTGTGCAGATGCCGGAACAGCATGCAGAGGTGAGATTACCAGTTGAGGCCCCTTTCCTTGCCAGGACACTATCTTAGAATTACAGGTGAAAGCTAAATCGTTAGATTGTCCTGTCTCCTTCTTATATATCAGTATTTACTATAAAAGATGTTTATGGTAATAATGCAGCATTGAAAGAATGATATGTGGGCAGATTCTTCACCCGTACATGAACCTTCCATGTTTCCTTCCAAGACAGGATTGAAGTGTCCTGTTAGTTGTCCTCATGTTGTCAATACCATGAACCTACCTGGTAGACTATTGTCTATTTTTATACTTTATTCTAGAAGACTCTTAAAGGACCAGAAAAATCTGGAATGGCCTGAGTCTTCTAGCTGTGATCATGGACATTTTAAAATTTTCTACTTAGGGAAATTGCTATTATTTTAGTAACATATTTTCTATATTTGAAAAAATGATGCTTATTCATTAAAGGACAATATATCATTTCCCTTCAAAGGAGGAAGGACTTCTTCCAATATTGTCAATATTAATAGTTTGTGCCGGGCGGTGGTGACGCACGCCTTTAATCCCAGCACTCAGGAGGCAGAACCAGGCAGAGCTCTGTGAGTTCAAGGCCAGCCTAAGCTACCAAGTGAGTTCCAGAAAAAAGGCACAAAGCTTTTTTTCCTTGTCAAGAAACCTTGTCTCAGAAAAAAAAAAACAACAACAAAAAAAACAAAAAAAAACCAGTTTGTAAGTCACGATTTTGCCTGTTGCAGGAAAGCCTGAAAGTCCTAGAAATTACTGCTATAATTATAAATACATTGTATGTAATAATAATGAAAAGTTTGTAAATATAATTTTAAAAGGTGAATAGTAAAGATTTAATGCTGTCAATTATTTTATTGCATGGAGATTTATGTATTTATTATTCATAAGGCTTCTAAAAAATTCAGGAACACTTAATTTCTTCTTGAGCAGTTTCTTCTTTGGTGATAGTCCTATTTCAGTTACCCAGGAAGGAGGGAATAAAGAGGTAGAAATGATTAGAAATTGGAGATTGAGTTCTACAGCCTTCTTTGTATGTAATGAAGAGAGCTTAGTGGTTACCGCTCAAGGACGAATTCACTTTCCCAAGAAAGGCTATTTCTTGAGTCTAGTTGTAGATAGCCCATCCAAAATAATATAATGAGGAAAGAAGAACACATCACAGAATGGGCGGTTGTCTCCTTTGTAAGAACAAAATTTTATAGTAAGACATTTTTGTGCTTAATTTTCATTCTATATTCTACTTCAAAACTCCACAATGGTTCTAAACTTTTTATTTGGTTAAAACAAAACCTTAAAGGCAACTCATGCATCTTTGGGAGGTTTTGAGCCTAAAGCCTGACAGTAAATGGTATAATGAAAGGGAAGTGGGTACTGTGAGACTATAAAGAAGGGTCAGGGATGGGAAAGGAGAATTTTTTAAGTGAGGACATTTTATTCTCCTATCCTGAAAAGAGCAGAAAACTATTTTGTAGGGCATTCAGTAGCAAAGATTTTTTTTTTAAAAAAATGACAATGTTAAGACTTTAATGATGGCAAGTGAATTAATTTGGAATGGAATGGATCACTGAAAAGATAAAGGATAGGCCTTATTATATTAGCCATGTTTTTTTCTGAGGGCTACCATGTCTAATTACACATTGTCATGAAAAAACAGCAACCAATAAATGAACAAGGAGCTGCCCATGTGTTTTCCATGTTTAATTTTATTGCTGCTTCTTCCTTCAAGAATGAGAGAGAGAGAGAGAGAGAGAGAGAGAGAGAGAGGCAGGCGGGGGGTGGAGGCTACACTGTTTGGAATTTTCAGGCTTTACATGTCCCTCTCATTTGTCTTTTTTCCTTCTGCTCGGCCCTAGGACATCATTATTCAATGCTCCAGATGTTTACTCCTTGAATAATTATGTTATAGAGATACAAGTTATTTTATCTGTTGCACTTCATTAAGTGGTTTCATTAAAGCATTAATTATATGAGAATGAAAAATATTTGTGAATTTTACTTATTTATATATCATGAATCTAAACTCTCCTGCAGACTAACCATCTGTGCAAAGATCTTGATGAGAGATGAGACAAAAACCTACATACTACATGGCCTCTGTGACAACACAAACGAGGAACTTTTCTTAGCCTGGTTTGTGTTGCTATAACATAAGACCTGAGAACTGACAATTTATAAAGAGTAGACATCTACTTGACCACAGTTGTGAAGGCTCAGAGCCCAGGATTGACCAGGAAATGTGTGTGTGTGTGTTGGGGGTGGTGGTGGAGCTGTATCTGATCAGGGCCTTCATCTCATGGAAAGAGAGATGGAAGAAGACAGGGCCATGATTACTTCTGTTCCAGACCCACTCGTGCAACAATTAACATGATGACAATGATAGATCCTTGGGGGACCCATTGGATAGACTCTGTGTATGGACGTGACATTTGTTTGAGTGCCCTTTATGCATCATGATCAGTCTACACTATCAGATAAAGCCCTAGAACTACATCTAAGATGTACAGCCGTGATGCAGGGTGGAGCCTCAGATCTCAGGGCGGTGAGGAAGCTAGATCAGGTGTAAGTTCTAACTTTCCCACCCACTGGCTGTGGGAACTTTAAGCCTCAGTTTTCACATCTGTATTGCATGAATAGACTTGGTGAGGGTTGAATTTAAACATACCTGTAAAGGCATACCTGTTAAGGTTACTCATTGTTAGCTCTAGAGAAGTAAGGTCAACTTGAAGTCACTTACATTTTTCCTGAAGACTGGATATGAGTGATAAAGTCTAGATGAATGCATGATTAGGTGATGTTATGAGGCACTTCTTATGATTTCCAAGAATCCCAAAGTACAAGTAGCTCTGACTTTTCCTTTGTTTCTTTTCTTTCCAGAGCGCAAACTGTAAGACTTAGATAGAATGGAGTAGAAACAGGAAGTGTTCAGGTGAGTACACATTCTAGCCTATGAGATATTTGTTTCTAGGTAAATACAGAATTTAATCTAGACAAAAGGAAGCCAGAAATTGTAGACCAGTCCTAATTCTTTCTGAGTCCTGTCACATGTACTTTCTGTTGCCAACTGAATTATCCTAACATGGCGGTGACTGTTAAGATGGAGTAATATTCCAACATGAACCTCTAATGGTAATTTTAGCCCCCGATTCATATGGATCTTTTAATCAAATATAATTGGTGTCTCCATGAAAAGGAGAAATGGAGAGATACACACTTGGCACAACATATGTGACTGTGAACAGAGACACTGGAGTCATGAGCCCATTATAAGCCAAGTAATGCCAACCACTCCCAGCAAACCGGCAGAGCTAGGGAGAGGCATCAACTAGATTCTCCACCACAGCTCTCAGAATGAACTGGCTCTGACATTTTGAACTGACTTGTAATCTCCAGTCTGTGAGTCAGTAAGTATCTGTCATTTAAGCCATCTAGTATATGGTATTCTAGGGTATACAAGAAGACAGACATTTGCCTTAGAAATAAAGGACACATACTCAACTATGTTCATATCAGCATTATTCGTAATAGCAAGAACCTGGAAACAACCTAGATGCCCCTCAACTGAAGAATGGATAAAGAAAATATGGCACATATACACAATGGAGTACTACTCAGCAGTAAAAAACAATGATATCATGAAATTTGCAGGCAAATGGATGGATCTAGAAAATATCATCTTAAGTGAGATAACCCAGACTCAGAAGGACAAACATAGTATGTACTCACTCAGAAGTGGATACTAAATGGGAGGGAAGGGATGGCCAGACTGCAATCCACAACTCCAGAGAGGCTAGCTAATAGGAAAAGACCCTAGGAGGGATACATGGATGACCCTGTGAAGGAGAAGAAGATGAGATCTACATGAGTGGACTGGGTGTGTGGGGGGTGGCAGAGGGTGAGCAGTGGGGGATGAAAACATAGCGAAGTGGGAGGGTCAAACTGGAACAGGGACAGAGTGGGAGGGCAGGGAGGAAGATACCATGATAGATGAGGACATCATAGGAATAGGAAGAGGCAGGGTGCTGGGGAGGCTCTTAAGAATCCACAAGGTTGACCCCACCTTGGTCTGCTAGCAGTGGTCCAGAAGGTGCCTGGACCGGTCTACTCTGGTGACCAGTCTAGCAAATAATCTAGCTGTCATCATAGAGCCTTTGTCCAGTGACAGATGGAGGCAGATACAGAGATCCACAGCCAGGCACCAGGCTGAGTTCCGGGAATCCAATTGATGAGAGAGAGGAGAGATACTGCAGGCGAGGGACGTCAAGATCATGATGGGAGGATGTGCAGAGATGACAGACCACACTAGTGGAAACCCATGAACTGTGGACTGGTAGCTGTGGAGCCCCCATGGGACTGGACTAGGCCCTCTGGATATGGAAGATGGTTGTTTGGCTCGAACTGTTTGTGGGACACCCAGGCAGGGGGATTGGGATCTGTCCCTGGTGCATGGGCAGGCTTCTGGGAATCCGGTACCTGTGGTGTGACACCTTGTATAGCCTTGGTGCAGTGAGAAGGGGCTTGGACCTGCCTAGGCTCAGTGAGCTGGGCTCTGCTGACTTCCCATGGGAGACCTCGATTTGGGGGATGTGGAGATGTGGGGTGGCTTGGGAAAGAGGGCTGGGGATGGGAGGAGGGAGGAGGGGTGTCTGTGGATAGCATGAGGAGTGAGTAGAAAATTTCTTAATAAAGAAAAATAAAATAAAATAAAAAGAAATGAAATGTAAAGAACACACACATACCCCTCAGTAATAAAAATAATATTATAGGGTAATGTTAAAGAGTCAAAATGATTTGCTGCTGGCCCCATAAAAAGGAAGGATGCATGCTAGGTATTTCTGCTTTTCTTTTGTGTTACTCAGACACACAGATTAACAGGAGACATTCCTTTGCTGTTATCTGTTCTTTACTTCCTTTATTTCCACCATTCTCCCCCAGTAATTCTGGTTTACACCTTCATAACCCACCAACCTGGCAGTGTTTCTCTTGAAACCCATGTTGTGGTGTGATGTCAGGCTAGTTCTTCTCCCGACTTCATGAATAAAAAATGTCTTTGCTTTCTTTTTGTAGAGTAAGTTCATTGGGATAGAAAATTGTATCTTAATAGCTATAAAGAAATTGCTAGCAATTTCACCATTCTGATACCCTTGTTCACTATTGCAGAGGACGTCTCCTAGAGACTTTATATTTGTTCTAAGAAATATAGTTTCAAAAAAAGTGACTTATGCTATACATTCATAAAACTCATAAAAATTCCAGACAATGTGGTGCACATTTATAATCCCAGTACTGGGGAGGTGGAGAGAGGCAGATCCCAGGGGCCCACTAGATAGCCAGCCTAGCCTAGTCAGGGAGTTTCAGGACCCTGTCTCAAAAATAAGATGGAGAACAATTGAAAAAAATACAGCTAATGTTGACCTCTGGCCTCAACACAGATGTACACATGTACGCACACAAACATATGTACCCACATAAGCATGTATACATACATACACATATATACAAAATAAAAACAAAACACTCAGAGCCACCCTGGCCATTCCTGTTTTTCTAATCTTATAATGTTGGGACCACAAAGGTCCTTTTGCCCACACATCTCCAAGGGCACCAGGAATGTTAATCATACAGTAGTGTCTCCTGAAAAGAAGAAATACCTGTTCTTCCATTCAGAAGGCAAGGAATTGGAGGTGGTTAACAGCCTGGTGATCTGCATTATCTGTCGGGCCAGGCCATATCAAGCTTTCACAACTAGGACCAGAGGTGGCTAATAGTCTAAATGACCCTTTCATTATTTGTATAGCCAGGGGCTCCCCCAAGCTCTCACAGCTGGGACTAGATGGCTAATAGTCCAAATGACCTCTGTGCCATCTGCATGACCGAGATCATGCCAGATGCTTTCCTGGCCTATTTCTAGAACACATCTTCTTGGAAGAAATGATGCGTGCTTTGAGCTAAATTTCAATGTAATTATGCCTCCTTGTGCACCAGAGATTGTATTATACCTGGAAACTTTTTTCCAATTTGTACTGTTTATAAATATGATGGCAATAAACTGCCTGCATCAGACTCCCAAAGTTTGATCCAGCCTAAGTCATTCTAAACTAAGTTTTCTTTTTATTTTTCATTAAGAATTTTTTTTTATTCATTTTACATATCAATCACAGATCCCCTCTTTCTTCCTCCTGCCCCTCCAGCCTTCACCCCCAACTCACCTCTCCCCATTTCCTCCTACAGGAAGGTAAGAGCTCCCATGGGGAGTAAGCAGAGCCTGGTACATTCAGTAGATGCAGGTCCAAGCTCCTCCCCCTGCCTCAAGGCTGTGCAAGGTGTCCCACCATAGGTAGTAGGTTCCAAAAACGCCAGCTCACACACCAGGGATGTATCCTGATCTTACTGTCAGGAGGCTTCTTAAGCAGATCAAGCTACACAACTATCTCACTTATGGAGAGGGCCTAGTCCAGTCCCGTGGAGGCTCCACAAGTGTTGGTCTAGATTTCATGAGTTCCCACTAGTTTGGTTTGCTAAACCGAGTTTTCATTCTCACCTCTTGGAAGATTGTTTCCCTGCCTGCCATGACACTTGCAGGGGCCTGTAGCACAAATTGTTAGAAGGTCCTGTTAATAAAAACAAACCTGGAGCCAGGTATTGGGGTGAACGCTGAAAGATCAGAGAAGCAGAACAAGCCACAGCTGCCTCACCTTGCCAATTCCTCACCTGATCCTGTTTCCTCAGACTGGAAGCCTTTGAATTCTCATCCAAGTGAATCTCAGCTGAACTGCTACTAAAAGCCTAAAAGCTTAACCAGGCCATAGTTCCTCATCCTCATGCCTTAAATACCTTTCTGCCTCCTGCCATTACATCCTGGGATTAAAGGCATGAATCACCATGCTTGGCTGTTTCCAGTGTGACCTTGAACTCACAGAGATCCAGGTGGATCTCTGCCTCTGGAATGCTAGGATTAAAGCCATGTGCTACCACTGTCTAACCTCTATGTTTAATATTGTGGCTGTTCTGTTCTCTGACCCCAGATAAGTTTATTAGGGTGCACAATATTTTGGGGAACACAATATCACCACAGGGGCCCTCTTATTATACCCTGTTCTTGTCTCTGTGGAAGCCTTCTACATAGAATTGTTTGATGTATCATAAATAGACCTCTGGATTCTGTGATAACAGTCTCTCCTGAAATGCCCTTTCCAAATCCAAGCCATCTTTGGGACATTTTCCAAAGTAGGAAGTAACTTCTGGAGCACATGGTTACAGAGTCCTCTCTCTAGAAAATTCCTGTTGCTCACACACATATTTTCTTCTTAGGTTTATCCTGATTTGTTGTGTAACTTTTATGTACCGAAGCCATGGATTTAAGGGTTCCAAAGCTGGAAGATATTCAAGATATCTGCAATTTGGTATGTTACCTGTCATTGAAATCCTTCTTCAATAGTTTTTCCTAGTAGTTATGTTCATTTGTTTGATCCCCTCAATAAGGAAAATCCACTATATCTCATGTCTGTCCATGCCATTCCCAAGTAAGTCCTAAAGGCTGAGGTTGCTTTTCCTCATTACAACCTCAGAGCTGACTTCTTGTGCCTTTTTTTTTTTTTTTGAGGAGAATAATGTAAAGGACAATAAATGTGTCTGGAAAACCTTGCTCTGAATATTTGTGATCTTGGGTTAAACAAATAAACAAACAAACAAACATTTTATTTCTATTAGGTTTCAGTTTCCTCATTTATAAAACATACATAATGCCTACCTCATAATACTATGGTAAGAAGAACATGAAATGAAAATTAAATCTGTGTACATTTGAAAATCTCTGGTACAGATCTTTGAGTTAATGGAGCAGTTAGTATACATTTGTTGGACTAGAATAAGGCTTACTTCCTGGAACTACAGAGACAAAATCAAATCTTACAGTTTAAAATTCTATGCACTTTGCCAAAGTCTTTTCTTGATCACCGACTATTTTAAGTTACTTGAATCACTTTCTGATCTGACTTCTGGTCATAGTTTCTACATCCCATCCCTTTTACAAATGGTCTTCTCTACTTCACACTCCCAAAGTCACTTCATAATTATCCTGTCATTCCACATGTAGCTTTGAGATTAAATTAGTTCTCAAACCTGAATGTATGTTAAACTCATCTGGGAAGCTTTCTAAAAACTAATGCTATATGTATTCATTTTAGAAAAGTTCTTGAGCAGGCTAGAAATGTGGCTTCACAGTAGAGCATCTTGAATGTGCTAAGTGTCTGGGTTTGGTGCCAATACTGAGAATAAGGAGTCCTTGGTGAGGACTAGCTAAATGCTGATACTTATAAACAAATCTGCTGATGTACTTTTTAGAAACAATTTCACAAATTCATTATTTATTTACTTATTTATTTTTAGGTATATGTATGTATGTAGGTATTCCTGTGGGGGGTGTATATGTGGATGTGCCTGTGCATGCATGTATGCATGATGACCAGAAGTCAGTTTTCACTCTTGCTTCTCAGCAGCCATCTACCTTGTTTTTTGAGACATGGTCTCTCATGACCAGCTCACCAATTGGCTAGGCTGGTTGGTCAGTGAATCCTAGGGATCTGCCTGTCTCTACCTCCCCTACACCTGGTGTCTTTCTTTTTACTTGGGTTCTGGGGCTCAAACTCAGGTCTGTGTTATCAATAGCAAGCATTTCATCAATTAAGCTAGTTCCTTGTTCCTAATTTTGTAACTTCTATTTTCAATGCTTAAAATCAAAAGTATTTCAGAATCAGATTCCACTCCCTTCCACCTTTGGGAAATGTAAAAATGATACAAACACCATTATTGTAAAACATCTCCAGTGGCTGTAGCACCTTCCAGCTAAGCACACCAACACATGGACAGTAAAACATATAAGCACCCAAATCAAGTGAAAACAATAAAAATTATAATCAGAAAAGCTTTATAATATTTGAGATTATGTTTTGCAGCCAAAGGAATTTGGGTATGAAAGTGCAGAAAGAAATGGCAGTTTTTGAACTGAGTTGTAGGTAAGGGTTTGTACACAAGGTCTTTTTTGTTTTCTTTTCTGAGACAAGGTTTCACTATGTAACCCTGGCTGTCTGGGAATTCACTGTGTAGACCAGGTGGCCTCTGGAACCAGTTCTCTCTGGTATCTTGTCAGTACTCACTCTGGTGTGTAATCCACATCTAATGGCTTATAGAAAATATGTCCAGAAATAATGAATGAGATAAACTTTCTGTGTAGATAATGTAGTAGTTCTGACATATTTCCTAAAGTGAGTTATCATCTATAAAAACCATGCTTTTAGATCTTAAAACTGGACACAATTCATTGGAAAAATACAGAAGAATCATAAAAGTCAGTTTGTTATCACATTCTTGGAAATGTGATAACACTCATCCTAGAAATGAATACTTATCAACTAATTTAAATAAAAGAAGTTTTTCTTTTTATGAAATTTAATTGTACACAAGGCATTAAACAATATTCAGTAAATTAAGCAAAAGATTAATGAACAATGAGAAAATCAGTTTCACTAGGTATCATAATGAAGGACTCTGAAGAGTACTTTGATTTTTGTTTAATCTAAGGTTGGCTGACATTGTTAGATGGAATTGCAGGAGTCATGCACACATCAGTAGAATTAAGCAGCAAATCAAACGAATCTCCATTTCTTTTTGTTTTTAAAGCCTCTAAACAAAGCTAAGAAGACAGTAAAGACCGGACACTCAGAGGAAGCATTTGAGAAGCATTAAGATGGAAAGTCTCAACCATTAGTACTATGAGACCTACTCATCAGGAGTGTGTGTGTGTGTGTGTGTGTGTGTGTGTGTGTGTGTGTGTGTGTGTGTGTGTAAAAGAGTTTGATTGGGTCATGTGATCATGATCATGAATCTGGCCTGCCTGAAGTCTTCAATAGCTTAACACCCAGAGCAGACAATGGTGCAGATGAAGTCTCTAGGCAATATTCTGAAGAAGGTCCTGTTGCTCAGGGAGACAGACCTTTTTGTTTTATTTAAGCCTTCAACTAATTGGATGAGGTCTACCAGTTTTATTGAGGGTAATTTGTTTTATTTCGTGGTCACTGGTTTAAATACAAATCCTATCCAAAACACCTTCCAGTGTGACACATGGAATTAGTCATCATAGATATTAACTCAAAATGACCCCTGTTACTAAAAATACCAAAATTAAGTTTTACTGATTATTGTCAAATCTTCATAAATTCCTAAATGCACATTGGTCTCTTTCTTATACTTGTTGTTAGATCGATATATGAATAAAGTGTTCACCATCAAGAAGCACTCTTGAAGTATGATGGTCATGAGTCATACTCCAAGCTTTTGAGGAAAAGGATATGTAGCAGAGTCAAAGATTCTCTCCCGTTTCTTAGTTCAAAAGTTAGGTCTTTGGTAAAACAAGAAATAACTTACCAAGACACTGAAGATTAGACAGAAATCACAATTCAAGAAAAATCAGCCTTCCACTGGAAAGCAAAGAAAAAAAAAGATGGAAATAATGTGGACAGCTTTGAGGAATGTCCTGAGAGGACCATGGGACTTGCCATACACTCTGTTGTGGCTAAGACCCCTAAATAATGGAGGAAGTTATACATTCACTCATGTGGAAGAAGACATTTAGAAAGCAGGTAATCTATCCATGTGGAGATGTGTCTGATAATTTTTTTTACAGTAATTATTTCTTCAATGCTTATTCTGCACCAGAGAGTGTCAGGTACTTTTTGTTTTCTCATTTTATCCTCACACTGATCTCACCTTGACACCTTCCCTTTGTCTGTTTTAGGATACTTTTACCCTCACTAGAAAGCTAATAGGGCATCCAGTATTTCTTGTAAGATTTTTTTGTGGATTGAGTGAATTGAAATTCAAAATGTACTTAGAACAATGCCTAACACCCTCTAAACACCCGATAAATATTACAGTTGCTCTTAGGATTCCTTTGCTTTTGATTTTACTTTTTATGTAATCTTTGAGAATTTTGTATGTTTACAGTGAAATCTTGTCATTAACCCTTCATTTCCCCCATATCTTCCTTGACATGTCTACCTCCCCACTTCCTGTCCTCTTCTTCCTTTTCCCCTTGAATCACCAACTAAGTCCATCTAGTGATGCCCATATGTGCCTTGGCAAGCGACCATCTGCAGAGCATGGGCAGCCTACCAGCCTACCAGGACCACACTCCCAAAGAAGGTTTCTTCTCTCAGCTGTTATCAGCTGCCAAGAACTCCCCAGTTTGGGGTAGTCCTGGGTTCCTTTTCCATGCTGGGATTTTGATGAGTTTGATCTCTGCTGCAAATAGAAGCTTTTCTGACTGAGGCTGGGAGAAGCCCACATTTGTGATGTAGACATAACCATTTAGAAGACAGTTTGGTAACATGATAATTAGAAAAATAACAATATTAGGTTCCACCCTTGAGCCTAAGATCTCTTCAGCCATGGACATGTTTACAGTGTCAGGCAGGAATTCTCTGTACATCAGGTCTCAAATCCAGTTAGAAGAGTGGTTTCTTGTCCCATAAAAGCCATACCACTGTTGGACTAGTGAGCACATTTGCCTGGCAGGAAGGTATTTTAGCATGTAGGATCCAATACTGGGCAAGAGCATTTATATTTTTCACCCTGCAGCAGCCTGTACGGCAGCTTCTGGCACTGTGCGAGCTAGTCAGCATGGAGGAAATTTATGGGTTGGTTTGAGATTGATTTCTCTGTGTTCTGCAGTGTGTGGTGTCTTCAGCAATAGAGTCTTACCATTTAGTTATGGTGGATAATCATAAGCAATGGCAATAGCTGATGTTGTTTTGGATACCTCCATGGCCTAAGGATACATGGAAAAGCCCATCAACTGATTAGTTAGTAAGCTAATTTCAAGATATAACTTAAAGAAAAGTCCTAATGGAGGTGCCTTTAATGGCTATACAGTGGCAATCCCAGAAAATGTGAGTCATTAGACAAAATTTGCAGTTCCAGTAATATGCTTTAGATTTTAGACCTTTAAAGGTAGGCTGTATGCCCAGCAGTAGATGGCCAAACAGAAAGGGAACTCAACAGGATCTTTGGAGGTTTCTAGTCTCACAGTATCTTGTTAGGGCTTTCCCATTTTAAAAAAACGATCTTACATACATACACACTCACACACACACATATTCTCTCTTTTTTCCTTCGCATATATATTATGGCTTCCAGTTCAGTGTTTTGATAGGATTTCTGAGTGTATGAATGAATAGATCTTTGTTTCTCGTGGCTTCTCTTGGGCTCTTTTCCTTCTGTTTGTTTGTTTTTGTCCAATTCTGATGCATTAGCTTTTGATTTCTCTTATTTTATTTTAATTATCCCTTATACTATCATTTTCTTTCTAATGAGAGACAGAAAGGAGTTAGATCTGGAAGGGAGGGGA